ATGGGATCATAGCGCTCGACGTGGATTTGAGTCAAATTCGACGATGAGTTATTTTACAGGAATTTATTTTATAGGATTTGAATATTGCATGTAATAATTCGTTGGTTGGTTTCAAATTGAAAGACAATTAATTTCGAAGAAAACTTAATGTTTTTTTCACTTCTGAACTCGCGAATATCTCAAATTTAGATTCTATTTAAAAATAATATTTCCTTTTCGTGTTTGAAATATTTATTATTCAATACAATCTTTTTTAATCGTATTTTATACAAATTGCATGACATTTTTACAATATGAAATGTAATAATATCTGCATCTAATTAAATATATAAATATGTTTGGAATAAAGAATTCGAGTCTGATTCGTCAATATATATACTTGTTTGTACTCGCGATGCATTTGATCCCATCGCTATCGAAAACCAATATCTATTTGCTGTATTACCGATTTAGTCTGATCAAACATATGAGGCTTGTTGGTTTACCGTGTTTTCAAGATTCGTTAAATCCTCGGAATCATCATTAGGAAAAGAATGTCGAAGATAATTCGACGTTCGACGATTAATTGAACGACTTGTCACTGGGAAACAAAGATGAATGATTAATGAAGTGTATAAGCGAAAAAGTTGTAAAGAGGTGAGAAAAGTTTCAAGGATCGCCTAAAAATTAAGATACGTGGCGTTAAGTAGAGCGTGATGGTGGTGTCGATGAAATTATGGGGTAGTAAAAAAGAGTAAAAGGGTTCGTTCGAGTATATAAAAATATTCATTGTTGATATCGCGTGATTAATACTTTTTAATGAAATGTTTGCACGTGAAACTGTTTTTGTGAGATTTTGTGCGCTTATATTATTTGAAATTTGAGATGAAATGTATATTTTATTATTTTTTTATTTTTCAGGAATCATCAAACGTGAATCAAATTGAATAAAATATTTACAGACGTATAAACGTCAAATATTTAATTAATGCGTAAATAATATTTACAAGTATACATATAACGCGTCAAAAACGTGTAATTTTGTAAAAAAAAAAATTGCCTACAATATCGTTGATCGTTTCAAGTGATATAATGTCGATAACAAATTGTTGTTAATATTGTAGAAACTATATTTAATTCAAACATTTTTCGTTTCCATTTTGCTTTAATTTGTTTTTTTTATTTTAGAAAACTTTTTTGCCAATCAGATTTTTCGTTCTTAAATTTCTAAATAGGATTATCTCTATATATATTTCTTTGTCGATTCTTTTTCGGAAGAGATCTACAAATTCAAATATTAACTTTTTTCTTCGTTATTGAGAAGAAGTGGATATGGATGATTTAAATTTGAACCGCACCTGCGAGTAAGAAATCTTTTTATCAATTACAGAGTATTCGTAAGATTTAAACCGATCAATGAGAATATTTCCAAATGTTACCACAAGTAGGGGAACTTTCGAGAAGTTTGATTTACTCGATTACAAAGCAAGAGGGATCTTTCTTTCCGATTTAAAATCTTCGGGATTTTCAATAAAGTAAACTTGTATTTTATAGATTTGACTTTTAACTTCTGTTGAAAAAAATGAAAATGATTATTTCTTTTCGAGAGAACATTCTTTTCTTCGTCTCTTCTTTTTATTTGCTTTTGGTATTAAATAGTTAATAGTTGATCATAGTTGTAGAACTTCATATTACGTCTTAAAACTTCGTGTCATACTTAACTACTTATCACACTTTATACTTCGTCACAAAACTTCATATTATCGTACTTAATTTATTTATATTCAATATTATTCAAATTTACGTTGTTATCTAAAATTCTTAAATAAAATTTGATCCTTCTTCTAAATCTCAATTACATTAAATTTTTCCACGTAATTGATACACGATTGTTCCCTAAATTTAATTTAATTATCATTTGATTGATTGTTAGAAATTCCCTAATTCTCTAGTTAGTAACTAGTTTAATAGAAATTGACTAGAGTGAATTTCAAACGATTTAGAACCTAAATTTCAGGCGATATCAGCTTACGAAAAGCTTTGAATCCCCTTAAATATACTTTAGTTGATTTGTGATTAGAAATTGAGCGAGTTTAATAAGTAATTAGAGTGATAGAAGATGGATAACTGATTAAAAACTAGCTGAAAACTTCTTTTGATGTTCAAAGCGAACGGGCATCAAAAGAAGAGATGTTATCTGAGTGGTTATTGATTAGAGACCGATTTTCTAAAAGTTATGAGTACTTTAGGGATGTATTCGACGAAGACTAACGACTGTTTGAAATCTTGCGAAAAATTTTATTATTTTTTATTCGTTTGATTAAAAAAGCGAATAAACTGATATGACCATTGAAAATTGATTTTTAATTTTGAAATTTTTGCTTGAAATTAAAGTGCGATAATTAATTGATAAAAATATCGCGAAGATTGAATATTTTGAATATTGAAAATTGTTGATTTTGAACAGAAAATTGAATTATTGGATTTTAGAAAGGAATCAATTTTCGAATAAATTTTTGTATAATAATTTTATTATTCGTATATTGTTCCAAAAAAATAGAATAGTGATCTGAATACAATTGAACTAATATTATAACTATTTCATAACTATTGAATAAAACAAATAAAATTTCAAAGATAAATTGTATCATTATTCTATTTAAAATTGTAACATCTAAATTGCAAGGTACCGATATCGTTGATAAATTATTATGCAAAAGCTTCGATCAAAAAATCTGATAAACTAAAATAGCTCTATCAATTTCAAAAAAAAAAAAAAAAAAGAAGAAAGAAAGAATTAATTTCAAAAACGTTGAAATTCCGTATCACAAATATAATACCTTACCTTCAATATTATTACTACGTAGTATCAGATGTAACATTACGGTACATAAACGTATACAAATAAACATTTATTGTTGTCATCCAACCACTCCTGTTGAATCGATCGAATAAATAAATTATATACTCTCTCTCGTTTAACGATTGGGACACGTGAAAATCAATACAACAAAAATATCAAAGTGTGTATCTTCCTTCGTTTCAAACGTGTCCAAAACATCGCCAAACGGTAAAGAGAAACTAAAACCAGACCAATAAAAGTTCGAAGGTCGCATATATATATATATATCCAGCAAATCTATTTGTCACGCGTTACGATATATATCCCACGTTCTCGTTAATTCGTTTGAAGGTGTATAGTGTATTCAATTATAAAGAACGTCGATTCGCCAGATCGGCGCAAAACCGTTAAGTGTCGGAGAAGTCGCACAGATTGTTTGGACGTATCGTATATCTCTGAATATAAATCCCTGATTCCACCGGGGAAAGAAAAACAAAGCAAAAGGGGGCACGGAAGAGAGAAGGGGAGGAGTAGAGAAGTACAGAGGCAGGACAGCTGGAAAGTTTTCCAATTAAAGTACTCGCTATCCGGTAGGACGATCGGCAGGCTCTCTACAAGGACCGTGTGCTCGGTCTCATTAACGCTTTTCCAAAGTGGATACAGTGGACCGAGCGAAAATGGCGAAAAAAGGAAACCGGAGAGAGGGAGAGAGGGAGAGGAAGAGAGAGAGAGAGAGAGAG